AGACAAAGTAACTGTTATTTTTATATGTATCTATGGGTATTTATTTAGTATACATAATAAATATTTTATTAACTAATGAACCACTTGAGAGCAAAAAGAATGTTGGGTTTTGAGATGACCCAATGATAGCTCTCTTTTTCCTTACCTTTTTTCTTTTCCATACCTTCTGTATTCTGAATGAATTGTTAAAATATGAACAAAAAGAGTAACTCAGATGGTAGACCTATGTATCCTTTTTTTATTACTGATAAAATTATTTTTGGAGAAAGTAGAATATTTGTGCAGGCGAGGGGATTTCCTGGACTTCTGTGGGTTTGGGATGATAAGTGCTTCCTGTGACCAGCGCATCACATCATTGTCCTTGAAGACAAAAGGGTTGAGGAAGCCCAGGCCCCAGCCAAGTGCAGTAGGGGTAAATGTAAAAAGAATCAGAGGCAAAATCCCCGGAGAAAGAGAGTCTTTTGGTTTGTTTAGCTTCTTAGAAGATTTTGGCTGAATTTTGATTTTCGAAACATCACAAATAATCATGCAACAAGACTTAGTGTGGTCTTGGGCGTGTGGCAAGTGATAGACTGGCCTTGGGCCTTGTTCATGTGAGATACTGTGGTTATAGGGAAGTAAAAAGCAGAGTGTGGCTTCTCTGAAAGTTCTATAAATGTTGAAATTGTCTTGTGTTCCTGAGACATCACTAAAAGGACTAGAATGAGTAGAATATTCCCAAAACAAATCAGATTTTTGGAGAAAAGACAAAGGAGGAAATAAAAATGAAATTAATAAGGAATTAAAATGCTTGTTTCTCCTGAAGAGCCTGGTCACATTTCCACATGTTGATCGATAGCTAGCAGTCTTGAAAAGGGCTCATGGTGTCACCTGAGACAAGCTTGGAACCAGTTCAGTGGGGATCTCTTACACTGCAGGAGAAACAGGCTCAGTGGTTGGGCATGTATCCATTTCTTCCTCATTTCCATTTTATTTTTGATTCATGCAACTTTTATGGACAGCTTTTATAAATAGATATACATTAATACAAATCTGCCAACTTGAATTGGGAATAATAATAAATATAATATGGTAAACATCCTACTTTCAAGATTCAACATTTTCTTTACCAACATTGCTCAGCAACAGCATATTCTCAGCACTAACAGGGCCCATTTTCTTTCCTTCCTTACAAAAGCAATATGAGTGTTAGATGAGTTTCTCAGTGTAACATGATTTACAGAATGGCCGAGATAGATGCAGGCCCCTGAGAGCTCCTCTGCAAAGCCTGGAGGACGTTGGCCTTTTCTGAAGCCAGGTTAATAATTCACCCAACTGACATCCCAGTGGTTACTGTGGGCAGGTGTACGCTAGACATTTTATGAGTTTCCAAATAAATATGCTTGATTCAGTAAAGAAAAATTTTGTTAAGAAGAAAACATTAATTTTCTATGCTTTACCTGATTGTTCAAATAAGCTCCCAAACAAATAATGCAACAAGATAATGGACTAGGCGTTTTTTTGTACTTTTCAAAATCTGTTGGTTATCAAGGGATATTAAAATATCAGTCATCCATTATTATGTGCTATGTATTTAATGAAATTGGGGATTATTTAAATATAGAATATTGTAACTCAGACTAAATTATAAATGGAGTATAAAGTACAATGCTTGACTGCCTTGTTAATGGAAATTCAGAAGTCCTCCAGCTACCACAGGTCTCTCTTGCCTGCGGATTTGCTTCTCTCAGCTTTGGCCACCCAGAACGTAGCCTGGAACCCCAGGGGAAAGTCTAGAACAGCTGTCATAGAACACAAATGTTTTACATGAGGAAGCCAGAAAGAGTGTAAAAAGTAGGGCAGCAGGCCTGAAGCAAAGATGTGTTTGGGGTGATTGTGGTGTTGGGGTTCACCAACACTCGGGCTTCAGAGGAATCTCATACTGTACAGCGAAAAATCTCTCAGAACCCCCCTGAATTATCAGAAGAGAATCAGAGATCATCAGAGTGAAGTATGATATTTTACATTTTCTTTCATTAATTCAGCAAAGCTTTTTTGTATGTTTACTATAGGTCGTGTGTTTAAAATACATTATTGTTAAGTCTTACAAACTCAGGTAGCTATCCATATATCCACTTCCTAGATGACAAAACAGCACAGAGAGGCGTGGTAAATCATCCAAAGTCACAAAGTAATGTTAGAATTGGATGATAGATGCTGGGCATATGACTCATCTGTCCATTCTCTGTGAGTCCACTCAGGCTTGCACGAGACATACTCAATAACATCCACTCCAGAGAACCTACAGGAGCTGACGGTCTTCTAAGGGGTGATTTGAAAAGCAGAGAATTGTTTGCATATCAGAAAAGGATTTTTTTAAGGAAAAAAATGAATTTTTCTCTTCTTTAGTTTAATACTTAAACTAGTTACCTTCAATAGTGTGGAAAACCTCTTTGAGTGGTGTTATTACACGAGGTTGAACACATGGATGATTGCTCATACTAATCCTGGGTTAGTTTAAATGCCAAAAGGATGAAACCCAACTGGCTTTAACTGTTATTTAATTCCCTACTTGGCTGTTTGTTGACAGAACTGCAAACTTTAAAGTATTGCCCTATCCTAGTTTAATTGGTAGACTTCTAGAAGGCCAAAAGATTCCCAAGTCATTCATGTAGAGCGCTGCGTGGGAGGCCACCATCTCCTCCGTGATCCAGGGCATAAATTCCAGGTATTTCACCTTTCCACTGCTGGGGACATTGGGGCCCCAGGAGGTCTGCCTCCCGTGGTGCTGATGGTTTCACTGATAGTTCACCAGCTTTACCTTCCTCTTCCGCCTTCCCACCAGCTGAAACACTAAGGCCAGGTGCTTAATCTCTGAATGTATGATAAGCCCCGTCGCCCCTTTCTTGTACGTCTCCCACCCCCACCCCTACTGTCCCTGAGAGTTGTATTTGGTCCTTTCCCAAGATCTAAGAAATGCTTCCCCATGCCTGTCATGTACAACTATTCAGACTCCTGCAGGACAGCTCAGCCCACCACAGCACTTCATTAGGTGGGCAATGATGCTCACTAAGCACCCCCCAAATGAGAATCAGACTCGGGATCCTAAATCAATGCACATTTAGAACAGGCACCCATGCATCAGCACCTTTGAGTGCCTAATAAATGTCTGACTCTGTGTACTAAATTATCAAAATTACTTTGAAAAACATCAGCACATTTATAATACTGTAGTTCAGTATTGGGGAGTTCTAAATACTATCTAAATAGTTCTGTAGGAGTAAGTAATTCTATTCTGAAATTATAAAGGTATTTAAAAACACGTATAAGGATTTTAAAAATTCATCTGTAGTCCCATGATCTAGCAATACCTTTGGCATTTTTTTAAGTAAGGCTGCACACAGATTTTAAAAACTTGAGAAATGCAGAAAGATATAAAAATGAACGTGGAATTTTCCTCTTGCATTTCTCCCACTCTACTTTCTCTCCCTGAAGACAACCACCATTAATAATTTCTCATCAGTCCTTCTGGGAAAATTCTTTAAGTATAGTTGCACACTTTTAAAAATGAATGCTTTTAGGGTCACACTATATACTTTATTATACACTTTTAAAAAATTTAACACCTTTTGGAAACTCTATAGTATAAACCTTAAATGTACGGGTTTTTAACTTATTCTGATTTTGTTCAAATCCCTACACTATGTTTCCTAGCCAGGTGACCTTGAAAATGTTATTTGATCATTTTACCACTCTATTTCCTTACCCACAGGAGGAGGGTGATAATGACTCCTACTTCACAGAGTTGCTGTGACTGATAAACAAGGTATTATATAGAAAATACTGGCCACAGTCTCAGGAACTCAAAAAAAATGTTAATTCATGAGTATTTTCAGTACATAATTATCTTGTCTTTTTTAATGGTCAGGTACTCTCCAAATACATAAATGTACTTTAAGAAAATTACCCTGAATTAATTGGTAAACATTTAAATTATTTATTGTTTTTATTATTTTTTGTTTTTTCTGTACTTTTACATTATTATAAGCAATGATGCAATAGACATTCATATATATTTATCAATATTGGAGAAGTGCCTACAAGAAGTATTTGGCAAGAATTCCAGAAGGTTCAATTCCTAAGACTGATTTGTCCATTTTCGATGTTGATAGACATGGAGGAGAGCTATGGCGGCCACCTCCTGAGTCGGCCCAGTTTATACCTTCCAGAGTCTCACAGAGCCTCCTTGTTCCCAGTTCTCTAACAATCAGGTTTTAAAAATATTTGTGACTCTAAAGGGTAAAATGTAGTCTGTCAATTTTGTCTCCTGTGAGAGATTTTTAGTGTTGTTTATGCTACTTTCATTGTCTGTTATGTGGACACGTTTAGCATTTTTTATAAAATCGGTTCTTTCCTATTTCCTTAATATCTTGCTTAGAAAGACCTACCTGATTCCCTAAGAAATTCTTTTACACTTTCTCCTGAATTAATTTTAAGTTACACTTTTATAGAAAGTGTTACATTATATTCAGGTTTTAACAGAGGTTTGCAAATTGCTATATTAGGATTGTAATTTTACCTCTTTATTTGGGACCCCTCCAATATTAATGTCTAAGTTTGTGAATGCGTGTTTTCTTCTCCATTATTTGGATTGAGTTAGTCGACGTTGGTATGTCCTGAGCTCCCTCTCTGTTCCTGGAGTCAGGTCATGGAGCATCTGCACCCGAATCTTTCTGAAAGGAAGCACATGGAAAGAGCCCAGACATGAGCCTTTCCCATCCCTAGTTCTCAACCCAGCAGTGTGAACTCTTTCAACATATGTCCTCACAGGAGGGAACTGCACGTTGGTAAACAGGTAATAAACAAGTCATGCCCGTTTCTGTCTTTCTCTCATTTTTCCAGTCAGGCATGATAAGAACACAAGAAGCAGATTACTTCTTAAAGCCACTTCCTTCACACGGAGCAGGGAGCCTCAATGACTCGGCTGGGAGTGAGCGTCCCTCCCACATTCTGTACAAGAGATCCACAGAACCGCAGACTCTGGGGGCTCCCCAGGTAATGATGATCGAGAGGAAGCGGGAGCTGGAAAACCACCACCTCTTCTCCCACGAACATCAACCCTTGCACAGTAGCTTTAACCTCAGGCGCCCACAAAAGCAGCACTTCTGTGGAAGACGCAAGAAATGTATGTAAGGGCGATTCTTTTTGTGTATTTAATGATTCGGATGTTTATGTAAGCCAATGCAATATTTTTAATTTTCTTCAAAGTATGTCTGCCTGCGAGATGAAATTTTTCGACTATCATTGCTAAACTTACGTGATGATTCCAAAGAGAGCCCATTATCCGTAAGTTCAGTAGAAAACATCTCTCCGTAGTGGATGGATGGATGGATGATGGTAGATGTTTTTTTAAAGAACGGTTCCCTGGGCAGATTAAATGACACACTGCTCTCAAATGCAGACTCCACTGGACGTCTTCAAAAGAACTCTGGCATGTTTACTTAGTAATTCTATATTTTTGAGGTTTAGATTTATTAAACCCCACATAGTTTTCCTTCTGGAGTAATTTATCTCTATACATATTTATAGCCTTTACTCCACCATATCCAAAGGACAGATACCCTTGACATAATTTACCTACAGTTTATCACCAAGCCTTTATCAAAGTCTTTTTTTGGTCGTGAACACTTTGGAGGTGATGTGTTATTCACATTTTATGTAGGAACTTCTCACAAATTCAGGATTAGAAGTTCAGTGTTTTCTGGAACTTCCCTCCGTTCCTTCAGCTTTCCCCTCAAGCATCACTTCATTAAACCTTCCCGCAGTGAGCCTCTGGGAATCCCGTCTTCCCCCATCCCCATCTCTCTCTGCTGTCTGACCTCCTTGGCTGCTATACCCAGCACCCTAAAATAGAGGTGGGCCTTTGCAGGTGCTCCATAAATATTGAGAGAGAGAGTGAATGACCCATGATCACTGGGTACCTACAACAAAAGAAGAGTACCATTTAATCTGTCAGCAGCTGTGTGTCCTCTGAGCTCATATCATCCTATAAATAAAAGTCTCATGCTATATTGAAATGGACTTGAAAATCTCAAACCCAAATTGACTAATTCAGTGGGCTTGGTCTCATGAGAGGCAGCAGGAAGAATGAAGTTGACAACGAGGAGAGGGGAACAGCAGTCTGAGAAAGTCAGGGAAGACAGGGAAGACGGGTTGAATGGGTATTAGAACAAGGCATACTTAGCAACAGCAGCTTGAGGCTGCATGGCCCAGGAGAGGCAGAGGAAAAAGTGGCAGGGGACAGGGCCAGGCAGAGTTGGGACCAAGATGGGGGGCTAAGGCATCAATTGACAAGCCCAGAGCCAGGATTCATGTTGACAGGGCTCATGGTGTGGGTGTGGTCAGAACAGGGCAAATTCCATGTAGCAGGGATGAAAAATTAACTTCACTCCTGGATCTGGGCAGGAAAGATGGGTCTTCACCTTTTTGACAGGCCACCCCAGGGTCTGAAGCAAATGTAGAAATGTGCCCTGAGAAAATCTGGAGACGCTGACCATTTTGAAATGAATGCAACCCTTTCATTTTTATCTGTAGGTGCTAAAGAGTCATTCAGCTGTGCATGCAGGGCAGCAAAATGATTCTGCTTGGTGTGGCTGTGTGTGCACACATGTTCATGTGTGTATGCATGTGTATGTGTGTGTGCACATGTAGGGATATGTTACCTGAGAGACATTTCAGAATCTCAATAGTGGGAGTCACTTGGTGGGAGGCAGTTATTTGAAAAAGACTGATAAACTGTATAATAAGTTTTGTATTTGCAAAATGGAAAAAAGTAGCCATTGTTTTCATAATAAAACTAGAAAAGGAAAACTGGACAAAATGTCTCTTGTTGGTGGAAGACATTGGTGATCAATATGGTGCTGTTTGGTTTGCCACATAGTTCTGTCCCCTCCTGGCTGGGCACATGGCAGTTCTGTCCTCCTGGGCCCCTGAGTGGTGGGGGGCCACGTGACTGGCAGAATTGATGCACATTTATTCCAGGCTGAAGCATTTAATTCTTAGGTCTCTCGTTATCTGTGCATGGATATTTCCATGTTGTCCGTGAAGCTCTGGACTTCTCTGGAAGAATCCTGGTCTTCTGCTCAGTGGCATTCACACTTACAAGAATTCTTCCCTATTAGGTCTCTGGTTCAGAAAATGAGAGATTTTTCTGTGTGTTTAGACCTCTGTTTGCGGAAAAGGGCAAAATTGCTTAAAATCAACAGCGACGCTGAGCCTCAGCGAATGAGTGAACCTCGTGAATCAGTCTGCTCCTCCAGATGCAGGCGTGGCTGATGGGTTTTCACCTGGGACTCACGTGTTTTGGGGAAAATGCTGCAAGTACCATATTTAGGGGCAAGAGATTTGCTCTGAGGGGCTTGTCAGAGCCCTGGCCAGTGAGGTCACCACCCCCGTTGTTTCTGCCCCTATGCCCAGTGCCGGGGAACATGCAGAGCTGTTGCACTCCTCTGCTGTGTCTGCTTTCAGCCTGCACACGTTTTTCCACAAGTGGAAATTGAGACCAAGGGCCCTGGGACAATGCTGCCAGATCTGAAACCCATGTCCAAGCTTTTCTAGGGAGAGAATGTGAGCAAGTTGTGTTCACTCCCTGTGCCTCCATGGCCTCATCTTTCTCTACCTGGGGCTGGTGTGGAGATTGAGTTACACATACACAACACTTAGAGTGGAGTTCATGTCTATGAAAATTGCATCAGCGTTAGTGGCGCATGATGAATGCTTACCAAACGTTAGCTGGTGTGATGATTATCCTCCAAAAGGTTCATTTAGGTTTGGAAATGTTTTAGCAGAGATAAAATGCATTGGATGCGAGTACTAGTCAAACAAAATAACATCTTCTAGCAGAGTGTTCCGTGAATAGAGTTGGCATTATTTTTGGATGCTAAATTTGTGGGTATTTTGAAGTCTACTTTCACATGAAACAATTCTATCCACATTTTCTGAGGCATACACTAAACCTAATCATTTTTAACATAATGCTAATTTACTGATTATAAATGCCAATCTATTTTTAAATGGATTACTCCAAGAGGACAGAGTATGTTTTGTCTTCTAATTAAATTAGGTAGACATTTATGGTGCCTTCTAGGAAATTCAGCTCTGCAGTGAAGTGGATCTATCTTAAGCAGTTTATAAGCCATTTGAAACAAATATAGACAAACCAGTTATGTGTCCAGACATGGGAATCAGCTTTAAAAACTGTCAGCTCATTAAAAGTCTTCAAATAAGAAAATAATGCAAGACAGCACTCTTTTTTGTAACTGTTAGTTCCATTGCTTTGTCGATAAGTCTCTTGTGGAGCCCTGTTCCACAAATCCCTGTGCTTATAGTCTTTGCACATTGTACTTCTAGACACTGGAACTTCAGAGCTAGAGAGGCCCTATCTTGTTGTTTTAAATCAGGAAAAAATTGCACTAAGGTAAATATAGCAATGATTTCCATGACATCTAGACTGCATGAACTTTATTTAAATTCAGTGTTCCACTTTAACACAAGTTTTGCTTCCCAGAGTTTTAAGGGTTATGTGGTTCTTATCATGAACATTCATTTTTAAAATCCAGTTTCTATAAAACAAGTTCCACCGCCGGTTTTGCGTGACAGCTCTTACTTTCATTTGCTCTCCAACGTCCCTCCTAGACATGCCAAAGCCTCCCAGGGATGACCTTTTCATCTTGCCTGATGAGTATAAGTCTTGCTCACGGCACAAGCGCTCTCTTCTGAAGTCCCATAAGAATGAAGAACTCAATGTGGAGACGCTGGTGGTGGTCGACCGAAAGATGATGCAAAACCACGGCCATGAAAATATCACCACCTACGTTCTGACGATACTCAACATGGTAGGAACGTCCATCTTGTTGAGGTCACCATGTGTAGTTATACCTGATAGTGTGTGTGTGTGTGTGTGGGTGGGTGGTTGTGTTTTCCACCCTACTTTTTACTTGTGGGTTTCTGTCTCGTACGTAAGAAATATTTTATCTGTGATAACTCCTTCACTTTTCCTATGCTCCAATCAAAAGAGCCATTTTCAGAATTTCAGAGAATAAAGAAAGGAAAGAGAACAATTTGACCTTCTCTGTAAGCTGGTGACGTGTACTGGTGTCTTCGTTTACCAAAAATCTATAAGAGAATGCTGAGACATTTGAGTACAGTAAATGTTTATCAGCATTCTATGTGCGATTTTAGATGGCTGTATAGAAATAGCCATCTTTACAGGAATATTAATGTTCAAATATTGAATATACACTATTTTATCTACAAAAACAGAAAAACAATACAACCTTTAGAATATCATCTCAGATAAAATGTGTCTCTGTTTCCGATTGGCAGTGTAGTAACTATGGAAGAGTGATATATACTAAGAGGGGTATACCAAGCCCCATTTCACCTAAGTGAAACCTAGATCACAGAAGACAAAATCTTGGGTCACTAAAGATTTTAAAATATAGTTGCGAGGACAAAATTTTTAAAATATGTTTTATGTTCTACCTCAGTACACAGAATACCCCTAAATGTGTATCATTTTCCCATGGTGCTGAATGGTTGTTGTTGCTAGCATCATTTTTTGTAGACTGAACCATGTGGTTTATGATCTCCCAAGGAACTGAGGGAGACGTAGACATAGAGACACCCTACCACTGCACCTTAGGGAGGCGAGGACAGCAGGGCCAAAGATTCTCTGGTTTGTGGAAGTATTGCCTCTACTCTGTAGAGCTTTTCCAATATTCTACATCGTGGTGCCCAGTCAGCTCCCTGTTGCACCCCACGCTGTTGAACTGTCCTTGCTTGTCACCCAAAATGCCCTCTAATCATTCATTTCCACATCCGCGATCATCATCTCTGATATTTGCCTCTTTCTTTGATAATCTTCTTCCTACATTTTTCCTTCTGTTTCTTGTATCCTCTTGGTCTTTTCCCAAGAATTTTCTTATGCTTCTGGAATCCCTTGCCAGGAAAGCTTGTGGAGTGCTCACCTATGTCGCCATCACTAAGAGTAAAAAAATTCTCCTTCTGTTCTAATGAGGATGCTTACCAACTCTGATGCCTTGTAATCCCTTCATTGGTGTTTGACAAGAGGTGGAACCCACCTCCCAAAACTTTAGTTTTTACTCCCAGGCGCAATGATAAGGAGTCAACAATTGGTTGTTAGATATTTCTACACCTGCCTGTGTAGCAGTATAAGAAATATAATGTCACTGAAGAACAAGGAAATTGGCCTTCAGCTGCAGGCTCCAGACCAACTAAGGGCTGAGGGTAAACAGTGCCATTTATGGGGACTGATGTGGATTGCCTGTCTTTTTCAGGTGTCTGCTTTATTCAAAGATGGAACAATAGGGGGAAACATCAACATTGCAATTGTGGGTCTGATTCTTCTGGAAGAAGAACAGGTATCCTATCGTTGAAATCAGCAGTTTTATTTTCCAGAAAAATAAATGCAAAATAATGCTTTGTTTACCTTAATATAATCCTTCTATGGATTCTTCTCTTTCCCCTGGAGACAAATTTTTTTTTAATATTTTGTGTCTAATGCAATGAGTTGCTTGTCAATTCCTTTAGTGATTATTTGATTTTTTCTATTTTTTGTACAGGGGTAGTTAGGAATCCTCTCTAATTTGACTTATGAGAAAATGGAATAGAAAAGCTGCCTTAAATATATGGGTGGGAAACACACTGGAATGCAAAGTGCAAGATGTGTCCTCAGCACCCTCGTGAGCTTTTAGGATGCCGGGTGGAAATTGGGCCCTTTTTGTCTTTGGTAGAAGAGTGAAAATATCACTGTAGCCTAGAAGTTAAGCTGTACTGTGTGACATCGCACTGCTTTACTCTGTTACTTCCCAACTCCCAAGACTGATCCCACTAAAGCTCACCTCCTTCAGTCTTAGGATTTTATTTTCATAGAGATTCTGGAATGTGGAGCACCTGTCTCTCACTGCATACAAAAGCCCAAATTGTGCTGGATCTTGGTAGCAGTGGGTAAAAGAATCTCCTTTGCCTCCATTGCAGAGCCCCTGTGTAAATGCACAGACACGCACTTCAGTTCACAATGAGGACATATATGAACATTTTGTGGCGTAAGTGATGGGCAGCGTCTTCGCCATGAAAGGCTCCTCCTTCTATTTGGCCCCAAGCTGATCACTGATTCAGCACGGGAGAGCGAGCCTGGGCCCATGTCAGGCACCCTGCATCCTGTTCCACCTTGCTGATGTCTTAACAGAGTCTCCTATTAGGCAGGCTTTTCTTGTTTATAAAACAAATCATTTTTTAGGTGAAATCTAAGATCCTTCCTGAGATCTAAGATGGCTTCAGACTTTAATGTTCCGAGGTGCGGCTCTTTTTCTGTGCGGGGTGAGACGTGCACGGGCAGGGCTACTTCTAGCCTGAATAGTCAGGAAGATGCAACTTCATTGTCTTTTGTGTGAGTGTGTGTCTGGGGAGGGGAGGCTGCACTGGCAGGGCTTCTCAGGTGACAGGTTAATTATTCCTTGTATTAAATCGTTTTCACCTTGGAATTCATCCAAGCTGCAAAGAATAAGCGAGGTTATCGTTTGATCGTCCACCTATGTGAACTTTAATTAATGCAGTTTTCCTGGAAATCACCTGCTGAGGAATGTAAGGCATGTCCTGGTGTTGATGTACAGCTTTTAGCTTAGGTGTATTTGGCTGTCTGGGAAGACAAAATAAACACTTAAGGAGAAAACATATTTAGTGTCCGAGAGACAAAAATTTCAACACAACACTCTAGGCATGAACGCTTTAAACGTGTTGCTGTCCTGAAATCGAGGCATTCCCTCTGGTTTTCGCTGACAATCCAGAGGAAAATATAGCATACCTACAAATAAGGTTTAAATAACTCGCTGCAGCCTTCTCTGGTAGATGTTCCTGCCCCTTCCAAATTTTCATTTCTCTCTTATTTCGCTGTTGCTCTGTTAGAACATGGTTTATGTGGATGAGGTTGAATGTCTTCTCTGTATTTTCCTACTAGTTCTAGTCCACTTTCTAGAAATAAAGCCTTGCCAGTTGACTTGACTCTTCTCGTAAACATGTTGCCTCTAGGAAAGCGACTTAATTTAACACTGTAATAATAAATATTGAAAGTTATAAATTGGAAACCCTACCTGCCCAGGTTGGTTATGAAATAAACATAACACTGTCTATGTGTGTTTTTGTATATGTGCAAAGTCACATATAAATGATTCTGTTGCCTTGTATAATTTTGCAAAATGTTTTACAAAGATTTTGAATACAAAAATTCGTGCACATAAATCATCTTTCCTGGGTCAGTGAAAATACATTCAGGGTCGGCTAAATACATCCCAACTGTTTTTGTACAGAACTAGAGAAATGCACGTGTGTCTACATTGAATCTGTACAGGTTTTATATGATACACCCTCCTTTGGATTTTAATACATAAAATGGGTATAATAGCTTATATGCCGTTCAGATCCATCCATGTATTTGAAATCCAAGTTAATGATAGTTTGCTGTGATGACAATGCCAGTAACAATTGCATTATAACATGTTTTCTTTCTGTTATCATGGGGGTCTTGGTCTCCCTTGCATAGCCAGGGCTTGTGATAAGCCATCATGCGGACCACACCTTAAGTAGCTTCTGCCAGTGGCAGTCTGGATTGATGGGGAAAGATGGAACTCGCCATGACCACGCCATCTTACTAACCGGTCTGGACATATGTTCCTGGAAGAATGAGCCGTGTGATACTTTGGGTAAGATCTTCCATTAGAGTTTTGAGGAACACATATGAGCTAAGCACCTTCAGTGGCCTAGGATGTTGAATATTCTTGCCCCCATTCCAAATCTACAAGTGGTAGCTGCTGCTGAGTACAATTGTAAAGAATAGACTCACTTTCCTGTTTAACCTTTGGCCAAACATAAAAGTATGCATTTATTCATCAAAAGTGATTATTTCATAAGGAAAAGTCCCTCACAGTTTCAAGAGATTCTGTCTCTTCTAACTTAAGAAATATTTCTTGGGGGCCAGCCCCGTGGCTTGGCAGCTAAGTGTGTGAGCTTCACTACTGGCGGCCGGGTTCGGATCTCTGACGCTCACCGATGCACCGCTTGTCCGGCCATGCTGAGGCGGTGTCCCACATACAGCAACTAGAAGAATGTGCAACTATGACATACAACTATCTACTGGGGCTTTGGGGAGAAAAAGGGAAAAAAAAGGAGGAGGATTGGCAATAGATGTTAGCTCAGGGATGGTCTTCCTCAGCAAAAAGAGGAGGGTTGGCATGGATGTTAGCTCAGGGTTGATCTTCCTCACAAAAAAAAAAAAAAGAAAGTATTTCTTTCACTTCTTCTTTTGAAGTATGAGAATGTATGAGATGACATAAATCTCACCCCATGTATGAGAATGGGGTCAAGTGTCTCATTATGTGGCAGAAATGGTACATTTGTGAATATTTGTAGGGGTGCTACAGCAATATTATATCCCCATTTTCCCATTTGTCTAGAAATGTCTCAATCATAGCCCTTATTTTACATGTTTTTGGGTCTGGGTGTGTCTTGGATGTTTTTCCAAATAGTCAGCATAAAGCACAGTGGCTTGACCAGGGCTCTCCTGGACATTTTTTTCTAATTCTCCATTTCTTCCCAGGATCTTAGGGAAGAAGGGTCTTCATTATAAAAACATTCAGATAGGACTCAGTTTAATAGAGGTTAGTCCTGACTGCTGGTTCCTAGAAAGGCCTGCTTCCAAGGCTGGTCCTTGTCTGGCCTCTGAGGACTTAGATTCCAGGAGGGTTCCCACCATCCTACCTGATGCACCTCAACTGTTTGTGCAAGTCATGTGGTTTATGTGGAATACCTGCTTTCCTTTTGAGAGTCTGGAATTTGGTTACATGCCAGGCAGAGGGTGCCTATGTGATCAGCCACCAATAAAACCCCTGGACTCTGAGTCTCTAATGAATTTTCCTGGTGGACAACAGTTCACATCTGTTGGAGGAGTTAAGCACATCCTGTGTGGCTCCCCTGGGAGAGGGCTCTTAGAAGCTCCTGCCTGGTTTTCTCCAGCCTTCTCCCCATGCACTTGTTCCTTTTTCTGGTTTTGTTCTATATCCCTTTGTATCCATACTAAGTGAGTATAATAAATGCTGGGTCTGGGAGTCCTCCTGGAGAATCCTCACACCCGGGGGTGGGCTTGGGGACCTCTTGACACACCCATTCTCTACAAACACAGATGTTTGTAGAAAAAGGCAGAAATTCTCCTCCACCTGCAGTGAATCCCCTCTTCTACTTTGCCCCACATATAACCTGTAATATTAACATTTCATAGAGCCAAGAATTGTTTTCCACACAGGGAGAATAAATCCCCTTCCCCACATTATTAAGAGCGCTTTATGCGACTGTCCAAGGGTTTCCCATTTCATATTTCACCAAACGAAGATGAGAACAAAATTTCCCTAAAGGACAGAGAGTAAATATACATATATAATACACCCCCTTTCTTTATTTTACTGCAACACCACTGTGGTATATCTTTTTTTTTTTTTAATTTTTTGTTTATTGCAGTAACCTTGGTTTATGCCATTGTGAAAATTTCAGGTGTACATCATTGTACTTCTATTTCTGCATAGATTACATCATGTTCACCACCAAAATACTAATTACAACCCATCACCACACACACGTACCAAATTATCCCTTTCACCCTCCTCCCTCCCCCCTTCCCCTCTGGTAACCACCAATCCAATCTCTGTCCCTATGTGTTTGTTTATTGTTGTTATTATCTACTACTTAATGAAGGAAATCATACGGTATTTGACCTTCTCCCTCTGACTTATTTCACTTTGCATTATACCCTCAATGTCCATCCATGTTATCACAAATGGCGGGATTTCATCGTTTCTTATGGCTGAGTAGTATTCCATTGGGTATATCTTTGATCTTTATGTCCTGTAGGATTTGCGCCCATAAGTGGAATGTGTAGTAAATATCGCAGCTGTACGATTAACGAAGATACGGGTCTTGGACTGGCTTTCACCATTGCCCACGAGTCTGGACACAAGTAAGTTCATCCCCATGGGAGAGTGGAACCCAGGGTCCTTTCCATCCTGGATGATTGCCATAGAAATACTGATTCATTAGGTCAAGTCTGTAAGAGGAATTCACAATCCAATATCCAATGAGAATGTATCCAATGAGGATGTGATTGTGATTGACAGGTAGGAAATGCTATCACTTAGGTACTTTTTTGTTTTTATTTTAGTGCCTCGTCGTGCACATTCTAAAACTGTGGTGATGCACATGTTTACACTTTTCTCCCTCTGTTCTTCCCTTATGTTCCTGCTCACACATGCGCATACGATGGTTGACAGTTGTATCAATCTCTGCTCCTTTGTCCTGTGTTTTGAACTTGGTCCTGTCGGCTAATTTCATTCCATGATTAGCTCCTGTCAGGGGACTCTAAGTGGTTGAGGACAGTGACAAGCCCTCCAGCTGTTAACTTGTTACTCTTGAGTTTGTGTTCTTATATGTCTTTTATAATTTGTAGAGATGTTTTTTGATTTGGTGTGCCAAGCAGAGTTTGGGGAGTGCAGATATGACAAGAGATAGGGCCTGGTAGGAGCTGGCTTGCTGCCCACATTCCCATATGCCCAGCATTGTTGGTTTTGAAATGGGGCAGCATCAGGGTGAGTGGAGAGCCTGCATCCTTGGCACAGATAGATGCCAGTGCTGGACAAGCAATTCTCAGCATTAATTTTTTTTCTTAATGGGGCCCACTTGCAGGCATCCTGCAATTGCCCTGATTAACATGAGGGCCAGCAGGAGTAATGCAAGTGTTTTCCAGCTGTACTGCAACTGTACTTAAAATTTCCCCTAGAAGATGCACAACAAGGAATTGTAAATTTTTTTATTTTTTACTTTCACCCTGATTTTACTTGCAACTCACAAAACTTGAAAAAGGCAGCATTTGTGATTTGGATTTTGCAAAGCCGACCTCTCTATCCCCTGTTAGAAAATGGACTGAGCCCACTCATATTACCTCGACCTGCTCAAAGCATCTGTGTGCGTGTTTGTGTGTGCATGCCTGTGTGTGTACGCATGGGTGTCCCTGCCTTTAATGGAATCCCATGGAGGCCCTGCCGACTTTGGCTGTGTGTGAACTGATGACCTGACAATGAAGGTTTATATCCTATTCCTGATCCCTTCATCATTACAGGTAATGATTGACTTTTTCAGTCCCTTGAAAATTGTACCTACACTTCATAAAGCTTTCAGTTAAATCATAATTGTATTTTTAATAGGCTGCTAGAATTAAAACTTCAAAAACTCTCATTACTTTAACGACATGGGGCTCTTGCTGTCCTCTGAACCATACCAGAATTTAATTAAACAATCAAGGTAAGAAATATGTAAGTCACCAAGGGCTGAGCAAATCAGCACTAGATCAGCAGTTGAGATATGGCCATTGGCAGTGCTGGCAGCTGCAGGTGGTGAATTTAACTGAAGTTAAACTTGATACATCCAAACTGGCCTCTCAGTCTTCAATGTCAACAAGTATCAGCGTTTGCTTTTATTTTTTTCTTAGAAGTCAATTATTAATATTTCTTTTCATCACTAAGGCTGGGTCTAGATGGAAAAATAATTTGTTCCAGAAAAAAGAAAAATATTTTTACTTGCAAGTGGGAATATAGATGGAGGAAAGAAAGGAAGTCTAGATTTCGTTGAAGGGGACCCACTCCTAACAGAATTAACCTCCAGAAAATTATCACCTCCTCCTTGAGCACCTGACGTCCAGAGGACATTGTGTAAGAGATGAAGGAACTGGGAGCTTTGAAGAGTCGATGTCACCGATGAAATAGCTTCTGATCATATTGAAATAGGAAATATATGTGGGAGATGTGCAAATGAATTGCATGTGCAAAAAGCCAAAATGAGTGACAATAGTAAGAATAATAATGACAATAATAATTTTAATACTTACTCTTTGTGAAACATTTCTAGTAGAAGTTGCAGAGCAATTTCACATGTAGCTCAGCCCATAGAAACCACTCAAGACAATCGCTATCTTGCCTTCACTAGCTTAGCAGGTGGACTACACTGAGTATACAGCTAACGTGAGTGAAAGGAATGGGTGAATCAGTCGGGGGGGAGCAAATGAACGAAGGAAGCGTGAATTATTTCCAATGAGTCGTTAGCAACTACATCAAATGGGAGAGGCTGTGGCATAGAAGACTCAGTAATGAAACTCTGTGAATTTTAGTTGAATTGAAGACAAACACATTTATTCAGTTCATTTATTTAATAACTGTTATTTCTTAAAGAAGAGATTATAAGTTTGATGTATGGATCACACATCATAACATAACTAGCATGCTTTTTTGTGTGTGTGAGGGAGTTTAGCCCTGAGCTAACATCTGTTGCTAATCCTCCTCTTTTTGCTGAGGAAGATTGGCCCTGGGCTAACATCTGTGCCCAAACTCCTATACTTTATACGAGATGCCACCACAGCATGGCTCAGCATGGCTTGATGAGCGGTGCATAGGTCCACACCGGGGATCCGAACCTGCGAACCCTGGGCCACCAAAGAAGCGTAGCGCACGCGCTTAACCGCTACGCCACTGGGCTGGCCCCATAAACAGCATGCTTTTATCTTATCCTTGGCAATGAGCTCCAAGCAGAGAATTTTTTTGAGTTCTATACCTTAAGAATTGAAAAGTAATTTTAAATCTATCAATAATTTTATATCTATATAAAATATTCAGTTTCACAGGTGAATTTTACTTCTTCGGTTTTGTCCAGCCAATTTCTTTTACTAAGTTCAGTTGTTTTCATCTTAAGATATCTTGTGGTTTATACGGGGGAGTCTAACCTAAAAATAGAAATTGCTAGGAACCAGCGTTTAGATTTGTGTTGGAAAAGGGACCAAGAGAGGCTGGAACCAGAAGCAAGGCTGTGTGTTCTCCTGGAGTATGTGGGATTGAGTCAGGACTGCCCTTAAGCCAGCAGTGCAGAGAGAGTTTCCTGGTTACATTCAACCACTTGGCACAGGACGTGTGGTTTGCTAGATGTTGTTTGCAGGTATTGAAGAATTGGCACAGGCACATTGAGGGCTGAACTACATGCTTTGGAAAATACGTCATCTGGGCATGACTCCATTTGAAAAATTCCCTTTTGCTAAGGAAAGTCCTGCCATTTGATGGGTAGGGCCCTGGGACACGGATTCCAGGTACATGGTGGATCTCCCACAGCCTAAAGGTGACCAAGACACATCGCTTGGTCTCTCTTCTCTTACCCAGGTTTCCATCTGCAAAACCAACAGAGCCTGTGAGCTCCTTAGCAGTTGTGTGCAGGCACAATTTAAGTGGTATTATTTGAGCTGAGCACGCCTAGTATACAAAATAGGCTTAAAAACTTAACTTGCAGGAGGCCGGCCCCGTGGCGTAAGCGGTTAAGTGCGCGTGCTCTGCTGCTGGCGGCCCAGGTTCGGATCCCGGACATGCACCATTGCACCACTTGTCAGGCCATGCTGTGGTGGCGTCACATATAAAGTGGAGGAAGATGGGCACAGATGTTAGCCCAGGGCCAGTCTTCTTCAGCAAAAACAGGAGGATAGGCGTGAATGTTAGCTCAAGGCTGATCTTCCTCACACACACACACAAAAACTTAATTTGCATTATCGTTTCAGATCATTAAGACAATATTAAAGCATATTTACTGTGCTCAGAAGTATTCATGATCTATCAGTCTATGTCCTGTCATTTTCAGCATTTATGGACCCATTCACTGGGCACAATTTGCATTCTGCCAGCAAAGCATTGTGTAGGATTCTATAAAAAGACTAGTGATCCATGCTTTCCAGAAGTCTAACTGAAAGAAAAAATAGACACGGCATGCAAGGGATCAAGCAGTGAGGGCTTGTAGGCATTGCAGGAGATGCAGTCAGGGAAGACAAGGGAAGTCTTCCTGAAAGAAACAGAATCAGCTTGCTAACACCATTCATCTCAAGCACACGTGGCTGGTTATGTTACATGCTCTTTCAAGCATTTAATGGTGATGTGTACAGCCCACCAATTTGTGGCTGTGCTCTGTAGTCAACCTGGGCTCCTCCAGCTGGCTCAGGGAGGCACTGGGTGATCTGAAGGATTGTAGAATCTCGGGGCGCCTTAAAGACATTCCCCTCTGGTGATTGTCAGACTACCTTCTAGGGGGCCCCAGCAGATTGGAGGGTCATTTCTTACCCATTTTATTTATTGTCATTCCTCTTAAGATTGTTTGTTTGTTTCTGTGTCTAAAAGGTATTTGAAACCCATTGACCATTGGCAAACCCACACATACACACATATGCATGCACAACATTTGTATACAAATGACATCTAGGTGTTGAGTGATTTGACCAAAAGCACATTTGAATCAGGGAAAGGGATAGAAGTTTTGAATTTTCCTTTGTGATGAGCACTGTGCCAGGTGTTCTGTAGAGTTTGTGAGGAAGGTTTCATTATCCCATTTTATAGGTGAGAAAACTAAGGCTCAGAGACTTAAGTAACTTGCCCAAAATCAAACCGCTTGTGAACGACAGAGGCAAGACCCTGACGGAGGTCCCCCACCTCCACAGCCCATGCTCTCTCTGGTTATCTGACCCATCCAGGTCCCCCGAGTCCACCTCAGTGCTGTCTCCATGTCAGCCTGGACGGGTTGTGCTTCTTGAAAAGCCTGCATCAGGGCTCTGGACATACAGGTCCTATGTGTGGTCACCAGCATCATGCCAAGGGTGTGATTTACCATTCAGATGACACTGGCCCATGGTTTCTTTGAAGGGTTTCTCACATCCTTAACTCCTGTTGTCTAAACAGCCTGAAATAATTGATACAACCTCTAAAAATACTTGGCTGTTCATCATTCTAGGTATGTCATTAGTCATGCAGAAAAACTTGCTGATGTAATTGAATAACTCAAGAAAATACTGTAGAAGACATTAAAAGCATGTGACATTGAATATAATTCTCAAGTCCAATGTAATCTGAAATTATGTTTACATTTGGGTATTTGAGTTGGCATTATAGCTGGAAGGTTTTTTTTTTTATTCATTCAACAAATATCAATAGAGGACATGTTATGGGATAGCAAGTCCGCTAGCACTGGGCCTGTGAACATGGATAAGAAGAATCTCTGTTCTTTAGAAACTTATGAGATAGCTAAGAAAGAGAAAAAATATATTTATTGTTTTAACATATTGGGTGATAACCACTTTTAATAGAGTACTATGTTTCATGGAAGCAGAAAAGAAATTGTCTGATATGTATAACTTGAATATTAATTATATATCTTTGTTGCCAAATACCAATCTTATCTTGTTCTATTCGTTCTTCCATGACTATATTAATGTTAATATCAAATGTGATCACAGTGTGGTACTTTCATACTAATGTGCTGGCTTCCTTCACAGTACAATATATGGGTGGTGTACTGCTTTGAAACACAACCTCAAAATAGTGGTGCTGAGATTTGGGTGGGCATCACAATCACCTTATTGGGTTAGAATACACCCAAATGCCAGATCCTAATCCCCAACCTACTAAATCAGAAGTCTACCAAGGTGGGCTTTGGGTAGCCACGTTGTACACTGCTTTTCTCAGATATTCTGATGCACAGCAGAGTTGGAGATCAATGCTAGAAAGAATCATTGAAAATCCCTGAGATGAAAAAGTTTAAGACCAACATATCCCCAGACTTGGGATGCTGTGGCTTTGAATTCCTTAGAAATATAGGCAGAAGTGGTAGCAAATTTATCTGGGGAACTTGCTGGACCGTAATGTGTCTTCTTCATATTCAGGTCAAGGGCCAGCCAGTGGAGGGTACTTTGGTATTTCGTTTTTATCACTTTCTCCCCAAGGCAGCCACCCATATGTGATTACAGTCTGAATCCTTTTCATAGCCGTGACACATTTCCTCTGCCATATGCTTACCCTGGCCTTGAGTGATTGCTTTTAATAGAACTTCAGAGACTGGGTGGAGGCTGAAATGACTGCATCTACATCACCCTTGGTACTGAGCAGGAATTTTGCAGAAATTCGACAATGTTTGCAGGCCAAATTTCCTTGGATACACCCTTCAGTCATGCTCAGGTTACACTATTGCTTGGGTCCCATCTGGGCTCTGACATCAGAGTGTAGGGTTCCAGTCCTGACTCTGAGACCCTGGACATGGGTCTCCAGTCCTCAGTCTTGCTGTCACTATATTATACCTACCTTATAGGCTTGTAGTGAGGTTTAAATTAGAAAATATAGGTTAACATGCTTAATATCATGTCTGAAAAATAGTGCATACTTGACAAATGTTAGTTGTTATTTTTACTAATACTATTAAACAGCTCTAAGCAAAATAGTTAAGTGGGAAAATGTGTCTTCAGCCTCAGCAACCAGTGCAGAGTCTCTGGGCCACTTTTGGAGCTCACTTCCCCAGTGTTGCTGTCTTCTGTCCCTGCTGCCCCCCCTCCACTCATCATGGGATAGTTGGCAGCAGAATGTCCCAGATCCAGTAACCACCTTTTCCTTCTTTGGTTTCTCTCTCTCTTGCCTTTCGACTTTCCTCTGTATCTCACTCATTCAAAACCTCCCTCTCCGGAATCCATGCAGTGATTGGGCAGGTACCATACATTAACGCCCTACAGTGGCTTGACTCTTTAAGAATATATTTGTCCTAATGGGAAGTCTTCGGGGAGCTATAGAGCTCCCAAATCCCCTAGGCTTTCTTCCCAAGGCAGTAAGTTGTGCTCTTCTGGGATAGGTGAAGATGGCAGCATGAGGTTCTCCTACAGTCCAAAGCCTTAATAGATTAAGAAGAAGAAGGAACAGACTTTCTGGGAAGAGGTAGCTACTCAGCCAATGTGATGCAGGGCTCCAGTTTTCTAAAGGGACAGTAAGGGGTGCCGATTGGCATTGTGGGAGCTGAACATCTATAAAGGACCATATTAAGAGTTCCCATAGCCACTGTACCTTGAGTTGTCCCCATATATTAAGCTAGGGCTAGAGCCCCAAAGTGGTCTGATTTTCAGTCAAGAGTAACAGGTGTACCTTCAAAGAACGCCTCCAGATAAACGCAACCATAGCCACCCATTGGGGTTCCATGGAGCTACTTCCTCCAAAGGGCTGTAGGGAGTCTGATCAAGCACTGACCACTGTCACAGCCTCCAGTGATGCAGCCCTAGCATGAGATGGGGCGGCACTGGGCAAGTGTAGGGACGAATGTGAGCACCACCAACAGCTGCAGTAGTCATTTGTGGTTCTTGAATTTGTTAAGCATCTAACTCACGTGGGGAGCCTGCATCAGTATTTCTGACAAACACCTGGAGATTCTGACCGTTCTTCGTGAACAGAGAAGAGTATAGAGAGAAGGAAGTAGTATAGAACGGTATCAGCTTTATCAAGAAGATCAAATGAACTGCTCTCCACACCCCACTTGAAATGCTTTTCTGTAATTATAACACCTGCTCTTAGCAGATATCTGGGCATGTGCTCTGTTTTGATATTGGTGTACTCTTTTAAACAACTCTTTTAAACAACTCAATGAATGGTAGCTCTTCAGGAAGGATTGATGAACACATGAATCTTCTCCATACTTTGGCTGTTAGGACTTTTTGTTTCGGCCTGATTAGCATACAGAAGTAGGGGAGTCTTCACAGTGTTGACATGAGTTTGTTAGAGTGTGTTAGCCAACTGAAACTGTTCTTTGTTTTGAAAGAACCATTTCTCTCTCTCGTAGCTTTGGCATGGTCCATGATGGAGAAGGGAACATGTGCAAAAAGTCTGAGGGCAACATAATGTCGCCTACATTGGCAGGACGCAACGGGGTCTTCTCCTGGTCACCCTGCAGCCGCCAGTACCTGCACAAATTTTTAAGGTATGAACTCCTAGAGTTGGTGTGTCTCTTGGCGCCTTTGATGTTCACTGCCTGGTCAGCCTGATCCTGTCCAAGGAGCTCCAGGCTCAAGTGTGACTTCCCAAGATGGTTCCCATTGGAAGGTGTCTTGAGACATTCATTTGACCAAGGAGTTTGCCAAACACTTGCTTGAACATCAAGTCCTGCAGGCTTAATCAGACATCATTTGGCCTTTAGACTCAAAGGAAGCCCATAAGATACTTACCAAACCAAAGTATTTGTCACTAATGTTTACCTTTTTTAAATTCCCCCACTCTATAACTAGACATTTTCAGTTCATGAATAGGAAAATCTAGTGTGTACACAATGGTAAATCACCCCCTAATCATTTTTGTTTTTTCTTTTTCTTTAACTTTTTTTTTTTTTTTACAAAATTCAATTCTTATTAGGAGGAGACACTTGAGTATATAAACCTTAACCTGGCTCTAAAATCTTGCAATTTTAAGAATTATTTTTAGAAAATTTTATTATAGCACTAATTCACTTAAGGTAAAGAACATTAGAGAGGTAGGGCTTGACCCCCTGAAAAAGAGACAGTCAGGAGATTTTTAAATTTTAGAGAAAGAAGAGACTTTAAGAAACATCCTTAGATCTACTAATAAGGTAGATTATCCCCCAAATCTCAATGGCTTTAAGTTTAATGTTCAATTTAAGCTTTAAGCCATAACTTTACTTTTATTACCACATTCCAGCACAGGTTGGTGGGGTCTCTGCTCCATGCAGTCATTCAGAGACCCAGGTTCCTCCATCCTGTGGCTCCTTCCTATTCTAGGACCTAGTTCTCCACTGCAGCCAGCCAGTGGCCAGGAAAGAGAGAGCACTGGAGGGTGTACAGGACAGGGGCTATATTCCTGGAAGTGAGGGGCCATCAACTGACGTCCCTCCAAACTGCAGGGGTAGGGGTAAGAAATGTTCTCTACCTGTGCTCTCCGGAGGAAAAGGACATGCGGGTTGGTGAAGAGAGGGCCATCTGTGCTGTATCATCAACCCCAGATCACATCACAGGTGAAGTAACTGAGACCTGGGGGACCAGCTAATTAGTGGCAGGGTTGAGAATAGAATCCGGGCATTGTGGACCCTACATCTGACCTCTTGCCATTGATCCCAGGAACCAGGGATGCAAACAGCCCAGAAAAAACAATTCTGTTGAATCATAGCTGCTATTTTTGTTTTTATCTGTAGGTACTTAAGAAAATTACTTGGTTCGAATACTAAAAAGATGAGGAAGAGTCTTTATTTGTTTAGAAAGCAGCTCTTGACTCTTTGAAGATGACTTATCTCTGAGAATCAGCACAGACAACTGAATACATGGGCATGAGAATTTAGATTCTGGATCCTCCTAAACTCCTTAACTTTCTTTTTCTTCACTTCTGAACACATTCTTCTGGGACTGAATGGTGGTACCCGGAACAGACTGTGGTTTGATTTTTTTTTTTTTTTAATTTTTTGTTTATTGCAGTAACATTGGTTTATAACATTGTAAAAATTTCAGGTGTACATCATTGTACTTCTATTTCTGCATAGATT